AAATGCTAGAGAACGAATGCAGTTGATGGGGACAGGGCCCAGGCCTCAGAGTGCAGGAAAGCTTTCTGAGGAATGGCATTGATTGATTATGGGTTTGTTGCTTTGTTTTATGTGTTTGTTTTTAAAGAGAGTCTCATGTGTTCCCAGGTTGGCCTTAAAGTCATTATGTAGCCAAAGATGATCTTGAACCTCTGTCTCCTGCCTCTACTTCCCAAGTACTGAGATTACAGGTGTGAGCCACCTTGCCCAAATTACTGTTTTGTTTGGTCTTTTTGAGACAAGGTTTTCCAGTAGTTCCAGCTAGCCTGGAACTCCCTATGTAGACCAAGCTGGCCTCGAACTCACAGAGACCTTCCTACCTCTGTCTCTTGAGTACTGGGACTAAAGGCATGTGCCACCATGCTCAGCTTATTCTTTTGTTTTTTGAGGATCTCATTAGGATCTCATTAGACACCCCAGGCTGACCTTACAGTCACGATCCTCCTGCCTCAGTTGCCCAGTGCTGGGTTAACAAGTGTATGCTACCATCAGAGGCAGGAAATGGCCTTTAGACTGAGACCCGACAAATGGATGAGCAGTAAGTGCAAAGGGCCTAAAGTCAGACAAGCCACTGCCTTTGCTACATGGTAGCCAGACTCTGAAAATGGCCCTAGTGAGCCCCAGCCTCAGGGTGCTTTTCGGGAACCTCTCTTCAGTGTGCGCTAGACCTAGTGACTTGCTTATAACAAATAAAATCCTACAAAAGTAATGAATGTTGAGCTGAAAATGGTGGCACATGACTTTAGTCCCAGCACTCAGGAGGTAGAAGCGGGTGAATCTCTGTGAGATCAAGGCCAGCCTGGTCCTACATAGTGAGTTCCAGGACAGCTGGGGCTACAGAGAGACCATGTCTCAAAAAAAAAAAAAGTAATGAATGTCACCTCCAGGATTAGGTAGGTAACAAAAGACTGACTTCTGATTTTTTCCCCCTTTAATACAGGGTCTTACTATGTACTTATATAGCCCAAACTGGCCTTGAACTCTATTACGGAGGTGCACCACCAAGCCTTGCTCACAAACAAACGTTTTTTGGAGACAGAGCTGTATAGTTGAGGATCACTTTGAGTTCCCAATCCTCCTGCAATTGTAGGCATGTGCTACCACACTCAGCTAGAAACACTTTTCATAGGTTGGCAATGATATGTTCTTGTCTGATGTTTTAAATGAAAGGCTTCTTCCCACTCTGTTGTCCACATGGTAGGGGAGAGGAGGACAACTGTCCTGCCACAGCTTGCAACTGCGTAACCCTGGGGGCCATCAATTGAGAGTACCTCTTTTTAAAAAAATGTTTTTAAACCAGGCATGGTGATGCACACCTTTAATCTCAGCACTCAGGAGGCAGAGACTGGCAGATCTCTCTGAGATTGAGGCCAGCCTAGTCAAAGTATTGAGCTCCAGGCCAGCTGTGGCTACAGGGAGGTTCTGTCTCAAAAAAGATCAAAAAAATTTTTTTTTCAAATCAGGCATGGTAGTGCCTGATTTGGGGTGCCTGGGGTACCTTTAATCCCAGCACTCAGGAAGCAGGGACAGATCTCTGTGAAATGGAGGCCAGCCTGGTCTACATAGTGAGTTTTTGGTCAGCTAGGGCTACAGGTAGACCCTGTCTCAAAAAACAAAACAAAAACAAAACACCTTTTCAGTACTGGGGACAAGTGTTCTCTTACAGTTCTATAGCCCCTCCCCATACTCACATGCACTGGCCCTTTTTGTTTTTTGACTTTTTGAGACAGGGTCTCACTAAATTACCCATGCTGCCCTTGGGCTCACTCTATAGCCCAGACAGGCATGTACTTGTGATTCTCCCATCTTGGCCTCCTGAGTAACCAGGCTTACAGGACTGTACCAAGAGGCCCAGCTGGGCATCTTCTGAACACACACAGGACTGTTATCTTTCACTAAGGACAGATAACTAACAGGCTGCCACTTCTATGTTGCTCACCATCTCTGGCAGGCATCCTCTCCAGTCTTGCCACTTACTGTTCTGTTGTGAGCTGCTCTGTAGAAGACCCTGATGGCAAGGAACCCAGGGAAGCCACCAGGAATGCATTCACAGCTAAGGACGCAGCTCAGTTGGTAGAGTGCTTACTTAGCATGCTTGAAGTCCTGTGTTCAGTCTCTATGATAGCATAAAACTGGGCATAGTGGCCCATACCTATAACCCCAGCACTCGGGAGGCAGAGGCAGGGGAACCAGGAGTTCAAGGTCATCTTTGGCTACACAGCAAGCCCAAGGCCACCTTGAACTACATGAGACTTTGTCTCAAAACAAATACATAAATAGGGCTAGGGAGATGGTTCAGTGCTGAAAACACTTGCTTCATGGGCATGAAAACTAGAGCTTAGATCCCCACAACCCACTAAATGTGAGGCAGGCAGGGAGACTTGCCTGTAATTCCAGCTTCTGCAGGCTAAGACAGGGGATCCCCAGAGCAAGCTGGCTAGCAAGACCAGCCCTAACAGCAAGCTCTGGGTTTGATCAACTTGGACCTCCACATGTGTGCACACACATGTGCACCCCCACACACACAATGCACCCACACACATACAAAACATGCATACATACAAATGGAAGAAGATAATAAAATAATTGAATAAATTATCAAATCAGAGGATGTCTGGATGTGACATTTGAATTTTGGTACCATCTAATCATTCGACAAATGAATAAACTGAGGCTCAGAACCACATTAAAGGTTAGGGGTGTAGCTCAGAGGTAGAGTGCTTGCATATATGAGACTCTGGATTCAATACCCAGGACAGAGAGATGTAGGGAAGGGGAAGAGAGGAGGGAGAGTCTTGTGTGCTGTTGCAAACCTTTAACCCCAGCACTTGGGAAGCAGAAGCAGGTGGCTCTCTGTGCCTGGCCTACATAGGAAGTTCCAGGCTAATCAGGACTAGTGAGACCTTGCCTTTAAAAAAAAATATGGAGAAGGGGAAGAAAGGAGGAAAGGAGGTAAGGGGTCACCCCAAGGTGACTGAGCAAGGAGGTGCAGAATGGCCATCAGAATTTAATCTGACAGCTCACCTCCCCACCCTCGTGTTTATTTCCATTAAGTGCCAGATTTTTAAAACTTTTATTTATTTACTTGTTTTTTAGGCTTATTTTTATTAATGTATGTGGGGGGGTGCACATAGTGGCTGATGAAGCCAGGGGCATTGGATACCCTGGAGGTGGAGTTACAGGAGATTGTGGGCAGCCTGACCAGCCCAACAAGCCATCAAAAAATCCAGGTCCTCTGCAAGAGTCCTCTTAACTGCTGAGCCCTCTTTCCAGCCCCCTATCTAATTATTTTTAGGGTTCTGGGGGTTGTTTTTGCAAACATGCTAGGCAAGCACTCTACCACGGAGACACATTCCCAGTCCTTATTTTATTATTTACTTGCTTTATTGTATTTATTTATCCAGAGCCCCGAATTTCACAACCTTGACTGGGTGTCCTGAGTGCTTGGATTGCAAGCCTAGACCACACCACTGGAACTGTCCCTTCACCTTGTAATCAACTCTGATGGAAAATGCGAGCTGGGCAGTGTAGGGGGTTTACCTCCATTATTAATTCTCCAGAGACTATTCAAGGGCTGACTGCCAAACTCCACCCTGGGTGAGGGCTGGAGACACAGCCGGAGAGAGGCAAAGACTGCTCTGAGGTCAGTCTGGGGAGGGAGCACAGGAGCACAGAAATCAAAGCTCAACCAGGTTCATACACAGTGCAGCCAGGCAAAGTATCGGGGAAGGGAAAGGACAGGATGTTTACATGCCATGAGCAGCTGTGGGCATCAGGTCAGAAGAGCTCCCAGAAGTGACTTGAGCTGAGCTAAGGAAGGGATTTCCCCAGGTTACAGTAAGGGCTGCAAGGACAGCCTGCCCAGGCACACCATGGCCTCACTGAATGTCCTACCCCCTTCAGCAGCAGTGAGTCTGCCAAGAAGCTTCCAGTAACTCTTTCCTGGCTCCTCAGTTGACACACTTAGGCATTGCAATGACGGTGATCTCACCATGGCCAACCTTGCACATGTGGGGAAATGACACGTACTATCTGGGACTAAAGTTTACGTGGGCTTTTCCAAGTGTTCCACAGCACTGCCAACTGGCCCTCCCTACCTGGCAAGCACCTGTTGCCCTCAGGCAGAAGGCCCCAGTCTCTGCTTTCCCAGGCTGTACTGCCCACCTCATCAGGGACCCTCTTCACTTCACTCACCCAGGAGGGTTTCCTGAGCACAGAGCTGTGTTTCCTGGTCCTAATCCCCTTCATTATGGACCTGCTGGTGCCTCTCAGCAGATTCGAACTCCGTTCTCATTAGCTCAGTAATCTTGGGCAAGTGACTTAACCTGTCTGGACCCCCGTTTCCATCTAAAGTGCAAATGAGCAGTTTTTATCGTATGGTAAGGGTAAATGAGACCCCGGACATAACCAAAGCACCCGAAACGCAGTGGGCACGTCACCAACGGCCATCCTAGTTAAGGCGCTGCAGCGACTAAGCCTGGGCTGGAACCGATTTTTGTGACCAGTCTGGACCTACAACAGTGTATTCCTCTAAGCAGGGTCCCCAAGTCCCGTTTTCACCCAAGTTCAAGTGGTGAGATCTGAGTAACCCCGTAGGGTGCGCGATGCACAGTACCCTCTCTGCACACGACCCTGGAGCCCGAGAGCACTGGGAAGTACACGTGGACCGGCTTCCTGGAACTGGCCCACAGCAGGCGCGCAGACCTTGCGCTCCGCCAGAAACGTCACGCAGACACGGAGGCGTGCAGGCTGTGGGGGCGTGTGCAAGCGGCTTCCCGAGCGCAGGACAAGGACGTGAGCAGACCGAAGGGGCGAGTGCAGAATGAGGGGGCGTGTGCAGGTTAAGGGGGCGTGTGCAGGTTGAGGGGCCTGTGCAGATGGGCGTGTATAGGCAGCGTCCCACGTGCAGAATGAAGAGCGTGTGCACCGGCGGGGACCTTTGCTGGCGGCTGGCCCACCTGGGTGGAGCTTTTGCGCTCGCCCCCAACTCCTTCCAGCCATAAAAGTAGCCACGCTAGTCTCTACCACGTTTCCTCGTCCGACGTCTGTCTGCCGCAGTCTAGCGACTCTCACAGTCCGTTCGTTCGACTCGCCATGGACCCCAACTGCTCCTGCGCCACAGGTAAGGGGCCTGGACCGCTGCGGGACTTGGGAGGCCGGGTGCTCCCCGAAAGTTAGAGAGGCAGCTGCTGGCCCCTTCTCTAGTCGTTTCAGGGTACAGACTGCCCTTTCTCAAAGTGCTCGGGAGCTCCCGTTTGCCTAGCAGCCGTTGAAGTAATGGCTCGCCGGGTACCTATGGTACCCGAGGATTCGCACCTGCGCACTTAGGATGCAGTCCCGCGTTCAGGTGCGCCGGGACCGCGCTCACCGCTGCCTTGCTTCTTATAGATGGATCCTGCTCTTGCGCCAGCTCCTGCAAGTGCAAAGAGTGCAGATGCACCTCCTGCAAGAAGAGTGAGTGCAAGCCTGTCTCTACCCTTTCCCCCTTCGTTCCCCATCCGTCCCTGGCCCGTCCCAACACCCGGAATATCTAAGCCTATCGGGGTGCCCCTGGCCCTCACCTCTGTCTCCTTCTCTTCCAGGCTGCTGTGCCTGCTGCCCTGTGGGCTGTGCGAAGTGCGCCCAGGGCTGTGTCTGCAAAGAAGCCTCGGACAAGTGCAGCTGCTGCGCCTGATGTGGGCACATCCCCGCAACCACGTGTAAATAGAGCGATGTGTACAAACCTGATTTTTTTTTTTTAACTGACCCATTTCTCAACTCTTTCTGTGAAGCGTATAACTGATAATAAAAATCGTTGACTTTATTAACTCGTTTGTCTCTGTATTCCTTGGAAATCAGGGGCTGGAGGGAGGGGCTGAAATGGAACTCCGGAGACCTGTAAGGCTGGGTTCCTTGGGCATCTTGAACAAGCCTGGTTACCTCGAAAAGCTTCCCGGTCAATAAAATAGAAAAATGCTGGACAGGGAGATGCACTTGAGTGTGTGTGTGTGTTGGGTTAAACCCCTACTCCCTAGATGTATAATTTTTATTGTAGATCAGGCTGGCCTTGAACTCATAAGACATCTGCCTTCCCAGTGCTGGGACAAAAGGCCTGCGCAACCACACCCGGCTTCTCATTGGATTTTATGCTTAAAAGTAACTACAGTGTTTGGAATGCATGGATCTAAACTTTGGTAAAAACAAATTGAGTTATAAAAATCAGGTTGCTGGGTGTGGTGGTGCATGCCTTTAGTCCCAGCAGAGACAGGAGGATCGCTATAAGATTTCAGCCAGTCTGGTCAACATAGTGAATTGCAGGCCAACTGGGGCTACATGGAGACCCTGTCTCAAAAGGGGAAAAAAAAGTTAAGCAGCAGACCTTGTGTGGTGGGACACTTGAGTGCTAGGCCAGCCAGAACTACTTAGTGAGACCTTCTCTCAAAAAATATCAGAGGAGGTGGGTGTGATGGCTTACACCTATGATACAAGCACGTGGCTGAGGCAGAGGGTCCATTGAAAGTTCAAGGCCAGTTTGTGCTATAGAAACCATCTTCAAAAACTCAGCAACCAAGACTGGCGCACACCTTTAATCCCAGCGCTTGGGAGGCAGAGGCAGGTAGATCTCTGAGTTCAAGGCCAGCCTGGTCCACATAGCAAGTTCCAGGCCATCTGGGCTACAGGGAGACCCTGTCTGAAAAAGACCAAAAAAAAAAAAACCTTTGAGACAGGGTGCAGCACAAACTAACCTTGAATTTGTAATCCTCCTGCCACAGACTCCTAAATGCTGGCATTACAGGCCCAGGTCATAACCTCAATTCGGAAAATAACAAAATCATGAAAAAAATTGCAAACTCTTTATTCAAGGGTGTGCCTTGCAGACTGGAAACCAAGTGGCACAACCTGGCCAGTCTGGACACCACCACCCCCGCCCCCAGGAACTGCCAGGCTCTGTTGTACTCATAGGATCCCTCCTCTTCCTAGAACAGTGATGTGACTTGGCTGTCAATCTTTGGAAATTCCTCCCAAGATCAGACTGAAATCTCTCTCAGATTCTAGCCCTTGGCTACTTCAAACTTGTAAACTGGCTAGAAATTTTGGGGGATTTTCCCAGCATCTTCCCAGTGAGCTTAAGTGGCCAGGAATGAGGCCTCCCAGTAAAGTCCATTCCCAGGGATGTGGGTGGATCCAAAGTTTGGAGGGTAGGGTGGTGCTCTTAGGAAGCCAGGAGGCCTTGGGTGACTTGTAATTAAAACCAACGGTTCATGCCCCTGGCTGTTGGCTAAGCTAATGCAATTTGGTGTTCAATCAAAGGGAAACAGGAGGCTCTTGGTCAGAAGTCAGGACCAAGCTTGCCCCCAGGCTCTCCAAGTGAAGAAAACCTTCAGTAGGCTGCTGGTACCTGTGCTTCAGTTTTGGTGTCAGGAAGTCCTGGTTGACAGCCCATTTTCCCCTTTACTGGTCATGTGGCCTAAGCAAGTCATGGACCCTCTGACAGAGCCTCTGGTTTTATCACCAGACCGAACCCCCAAAATACTGATAGTCCGTTGTTCTGTCACTCAAGCATTGCTCCCATGGGGAAGTTAAAGCCTAGATGCCAATAACCACGAGCTCCCAGTTGCCAACTGTCAAGTTAGCACATTTCCAACCACAAAGGGGAGGCTCCAACCTGGATCCATCTGGTCCCAACACCATGTTGACACTCTAGAAGGCCTTGAACTCATTATGTTTATTATAAAGAAAAAAAAAAAGGATACCCATAGAGCCTGGCGTGGTGGAGCACATCTTTAGTTGCAGCACTCGGGAGGCAGAGGCAGGTGGATCTCTGCAAGCTCAAGGCCACCCTGGTCTACATAGTGAGTTCCAGGCCAGCTGGGACTACAGGGAGACCCTGTCTCCAAAAGACAAAAAAATAAAAAAAAACAAAAACAAAAGATACCCATAGATGCTAAGCTAGCTCTGACCATACCCATTATTAGGGAAGAAAAGAGCTAACACCATGATCCCTGAATCTTCTCCTTCCTATCAGAACTGATGCCAGCACACCATACCCTTGCCTGATCCCATCCTAGTAAAAACCCAGACTCTACCCGCATCATTGACATCAAGGGGCTTAGAGAACAAGAGCTCCCCTTCTCCACTCAGTGGCCATTGAACCAAACTGCCTCCTGCCTGCTCCTCAAATTATTTGCAAACGGTGAAGTGTAGAAAAGAACAAGCAGATTCCGTAATGGTTCCTCATTTGTGGGAGGGAGATGGTATCAATCATAACTTAGGGGTAAATGAGAGTGTAGCTGGCCCCTGGCTAGGACTTCATAAATAAGGCAACTATGATCACTCTGTCCATGTGGACTTTCTGCAGAGAGAATCCTGTCTTAGCAAGCTCCAGGGCTGGGGAAGAAGGGTCTGGACAGGATCACCCTGGGAAGGAGGCTGGGGAGGAAGCCTTGCCCATTGTGGACCAGGGAAGTGTGGATAATGAACACAAAGTCCCCTGTGAGGGGATGATGCTGCAACTTCCCAGACACCAAAAGCCTTGTCAACGTCTCAAAGCATTCAACTTCACTGACCTAGTAAGGGAGCCAACATGAACGCAGTTAAGCCAGGTGGGATTGTGCTGTATTTTCAGAGTGGCTAATAATCTGCCCAAGGTTACCAACTTCTGGAGGCAGAAGTCTGGCCTCAACTTAAAGGTATCTCCCCTTGGGTGGGTACAAAGAACAAAAGTGATTAAAGACGGGTAGTTAGCACAGATCAACATTATACAATGGGAATCCTGAAAGGGAAATCACATTTCTTGGCTTCTTATTTAGACATCTCCTAAGATGATTCCTAGGAGGATAACCGCATGTTCAGAATGATCATCCTGCAGCGGGTGAACCGGACCGGGCTGTGAGCAGCCCCAGGCGTGCATGCGCGCACACACACACATACACACACCCTCAGGCCAGGAGAATGGAAGGAAAAGAAGGCAGACCTGTGTGCAGGATGAACTGAGGCTGAAGGACTGAGGGTGGGAAGGAGAAAGACAAGGTGAGGGAAGGAAAGTAAAGCCATGACAGACCTGTCTTCAAAACTCCCTCTTTGAGCTCCCCTCCAGGGACCACGCAGGGATATGGAAGGACTCCAAGAATGACCAAACTGACACCACCACCAGGGTTGGTGGTGGGATGACAGCGAGGTCCCTGGATGAAGTTCCAGGAACAAAGCGTAGGGGTGGGGGTGGGAGGGTTGGCAGCAATTCTGGGCAAATTATAAGGGACAGCAAGACAAATGGGTCAGCCACAGGGACAGCTGCCCTTATGCTCACCAGGGCACTTGCCTCAGTGGCAAAGTGACGCACAGACCTGGCAAAAGGGTGATTGCAAGGACCCTGGTAGTCTTTGCACACAACCTATTTCCTGAAGGTACAGGAAGCATGGCAGCTCTTGGGGTGGGGGTAGGGGTGACCCCTCTCCGTCAGCACAGCCATTTCTCCCATTTGCTTTGTTAACCCTGCCAGTCTTTCAACTGTCCCACCCCTGGAATGAAAGGCTGGGCGTTCTTAGTATTGTCTGGAAAGGGTTCTAGTACTTTCCCTGTTGCCAAGGACCTTCATCAACCAGCAGACAGTTTCTGTGTCGGAGGAGACAGTATCCAGGGCCATAGTTGTCCTGTTATGCTTAACTGAGCCCCAGTACTCTTCCAAGTGTCCACAAAGGACAAGCACGCTACACCGAGCACTCAGGAGGTGGATCAGGACAACGTCACCTTCACTTCTAGGCCAGCCTACAGAGTGAAACCCTATCTCTAAAAAACTAAACAGACCAGGCCTGGTGGTGCATACCTTTAATCCCAGCACTCCTGAGGCACAGGCAGGTGGATCTCTGTGGATTCAGGGCTAGTATGGGTGCATAGTGAGACCCTGACTAAAAATAAATAAATAAATAAAATAAACAAATACTGATTTAAACGAAGTAGAACTTTTGTTCTGAGCCAACTATTAGTGATTCTGGCCCAAGAACACATACTCAGGTTGCCCTGAATGGCCTATTTCACTAGGGAAAAGGATACATAAACTTCTTTAGACATAGAACAAAAGAATGTCATGGTCAATCCATTTGGTGTTACATTAGTGACTTCTGGCACATAGGTTATAGCAGAGCTGGGAAATCTTTGCTTTAGACTTCATGTCACCTTATAGATCCTTAGCTTTAGAGCTGCTGGAGGCTAGAGGTCTGCTAAGGTTAACACTATGTTCTAAGAATTTTACCTAATACTCATGAGAATGTTAAGTCAGGTACAAAAGTTCAGGTAATGCCTGTAATTCCAGCACTTAATAGCCTGAGACAGGTGGAGAACAAGTTCCAAGCTAGCCTGGGCTATACAGCAAGATCCTGTTTCTAACAAAGGCTATTAAAGGGCCTAAGATAGCTCAAGATAATTTGGGCTCCTCCCTTACATTCCATCCAGCCACAATCAAGATGCGTTGGCTAGCCAAGGTCAAGCAATCTCCAGGATCTATAACATGCATGTACTTCAGAGGACTTCAGCTCATGCCAGCATTTTATTTGCCAGGACTGAAGTGGAAGCAGGAGACAATGTCTCTTCCAGATCAAGCACCTAGGGGCAGTCCTAGCTCAAGGGGAGAGGAGTGGAGTCCTGAGTCATTGTGTCCCGAGTGGCCTAGGTTTGGCTTTGCACAGGCCTAGTAGCATGTCCACCAAGTACTGTGTCTCTTCCACTCTCTGCTGTCTTTTTCCACCTCACAGGTGGTTCCTGCACCTGCCTGGTCCTTCTCCTTCAGGATGAGCCAGTGGAAGCTTGACAGGAACCTGAGAGCTAACC